GGGGCCCGTGGGGAGAGCGCCGGAGCCCAGGGGGAGGCGATGCATCGGCCCCGGCCTGGGGCGGGCACGGTGCCCCGGAGCGGGCGGGCAGGAATCGGCCGAAGCGGCGTGCGAGGGAACAAAGCGTTGTCAGGCCTTGCCAGGCTGTGCAGGGATCGCTCCGGTGCCGGCCGGCAGTGACAGATATTTCCGATATTTGGGCGCTTGTAAGGAGACAAGGCTGCAATTTATTTTTTTTGTGGTGTAAGTGTTGGCGTCTGTTCATGCAGGGATGTATCGAGACAGAGGCTCATGGGAGTGAGACACAAATTCCTCTCAGCCCCCTAAACATGTAAAGGCTTTTTGGTTTTTTTTAATCCACTAGGGCTGCAATTTTGTTTGGGCTGTCTTTTGTTGTTTTTTTTTTTTTAACAGTTGATCAGATCTGTCTCGTTGTGGAAGATCTCAAAGATTTAGTCTTTGATGGAAATTATCTATAGCAGGTGTAGTTTTGTAAATCCTGATTATCTCAATGGTTGCTTTCTTCTCCGTGTACTTCTGATCATCATTTTCGCTCATATATGCCTATTCTCCTTTAATGGGGAAAATAAAGAAGAGTTTTGCAGGCTTTGTTAATGATAGGAAGAAGAGAAAGTTAATTCAGTTTTCCAATGTAGAATTTGCTTCCCAAAATACAGTGACACAATTAATGGTGATGTTGTTTTCCTGTCAAGATCTTGGAAGTACATGGAAGAGTAATGTTATTATTCTTTGCAGCTTAGGTAATATGAAGATGGAGGACTATGAAATATTCTGTAGGAAGCATCTTTCCAGAATCCAAGAAGAGGCAATAAAAGGAGAAACCTCTTTGACTGCTCAGAACAAAAATATCTCCTTCATTCAATTCTATGGCATCCCTGTGCTTTCCCCTCTGGTAAGGCCTTTTTTACTCCTTTTCTTCCCTGCTGTGCTGTGTTATTGGCACTGGCGTTAACGTGCACATGTAATGGTTATGATTCTACTGAAGGTGTCTGTGTCAGCAGCATCTGACCTGCTGCTTAGTGTATTCTAAGCATTCCTAGCCTTAATCTTACAAAGTAAGGGTTTCTCCCCCTCACACTGACTACATTTAATTTAATTTTTCAGAAGTTATCTTCCTAAGGGGAGCACAAATGTTGATGGTTTTCAATAATGTTACTGCTGGGCTTCTTGTAAAATTATATTGACATTTCAAATATTGAACATGTGAATTAGTTTAATGGTCTAAAAAAAATGAGAATGAGAAATACTGAGATAGTTAAAAAGCTTTTATGGAAATTTTTTTGCATGCATTTGCATCTTTCTCTAATGTATTCCACAGGCTCATCAATTATGTTAAGTCATTATGTGCTAATGCAAACAGACCTAAGCTGAAGATTGTTGGTAGTTCCTGCAATACTGCAGCTGACTTCCTTGTTTAAGTGATGGGAAGAAATGGGAGAGAATCTCTAACCATATCCAAAAATCACTATACAGACATAAATTGTGGATATATTGTCATATTCTTTATTTATAAATGCATAGATATTGTAAGGTTTTCTAGAAAAAATGTCTGAGTCCTGTGTCAGTTTGATACTGCAGTGTGTAATTCTCATGGAAAAGTTAATAAATGATTTTTTAAATTGATGTTCATTTGCGTGGGTGCCAAGAAGGCATTTTGTACACCTTCCCTTAAATTGGTTGCGAAGAAGCTGGTATTTAAAATGTGCACAAAATCTCAGGTGATTTCTGTTCTTCTAATGGTTTTGTTCTGTTGATTTTCTTTTGAATTTATTTCTCTAATTCTTCATTGAAATTTACATTTAGTGATATAAAACATCTTTCTCACACTCTGTTTTGCAGCTTAGCCTTGAAAAGAAAAAGGAGATACAGCAGTATAAGGAGAAAGCACTGGACCTAGAGACCAGGAAACGGGAGTCCCGGAGAAAAACTTTATTGAATCGTGTTCAGGAGATTGTAGAAAATGTCCAGGTAGTTTTTTTGTCCAAAGCTGTCTCATAGATTTACAGAAAATCACTGCTTATAGTCATATTGAGAAAGTGTTGTTGAGAAAGTGTTAAGTATTCCCCAATATAAACATGAAATGAATAGCAGCTAACTCTTCAGAACCAGGATTTGCTAGTATTTCATGCTGTGTTCTGATAATTGATTATTTACTGATAGTTATTGTATCTTGTTACTCATTGTAGTGCACAGGACTTGCTTTTCACAGCTTCTCTTGCTATATGCAGAAGACAGAGCTCACTGCTTCTTTTGTAAGAGTGTTGGAAACAACTACATTGTTAAAAGTGAACAACTCCCTGTGTTAGAGCTGCTTTATTTGCAAGCTTCTAGCTTAATCATAAAATAATCTATATTAATTTTTATGATTCCAGAATTAAAATTACCTTCATGACAACTTGAAATTCTGTTGTGTGCTTTAAAATTTTACTGCAACTATTTTTTTTCTTTGCTGCTTCAATGATGAATTTAATAGAGTTTTTAATTTAAAAGACTACATCTAATCAAGGAGTTTTTGTATGTCTCTGGGACAGTTGTAATACAGCCTTTAGATTAAACTGTTGCTTAAACAGTTAATACTGAGTTTGTTGAGTTACCAAGGGGCCAAACAACACTTTGTAGTTTGCATTGTTTACTGAGTGCATGTGGAAACAGTCAGCTGGCTTGGGGTTTGACCAGCAGACCAGGAAAGTGTGTTCAATACAAAAATAATGTAAGTCTGGGTTTTTTTTTTCCAAATGTGTTCTTTTAATAACTGAGACACAGCACGTAGGATAATTGTAGTGTGAAAATCTTTTTAAACAAATGTTGACTGGAAGTAACATGTAATTCTCACTTAAATAAATTTGGTTTTTAAACTTTTTTTTAAGTTCTAGTGAAGTTTGCAATAATCTGAGATTCTGAGATTTCATCGAAAATCTGTCATTTTTTAAAATTTTAATTTGCAGATGAAGAAAGGACCCAGCATGACTGATGTGAACACATCGGAGGCTGAGAGTTCTTGCCCTGATTTGGATTCAAAGGCTTTGACTGACTTAACAGCTCTATCAGATACCAATTCAGCATGTTCTCCTGAGAAGCATGGTTCCATGAACCTGGAAAAGACACCAGAACTTAGACCATCAGATACTGCAGGGCAAACGACATCAAATGTGACAGAAGTAGTTAAAGCAGCAGAAGAAAACGTTTCTTCAAAGCCAAGTAAGGGTCACTTCTCGGAAGCCGTGCCGTATCCGAAGGCTGCATCTTCTGACAAGGTGTGTAACAAGCTCCCATCTCATACTCTGCAGAAGCAGGAGGGACGAGTGGGGTCCCCATCAGATGAGGATGTCCAAGATCCATGTGTAATGAGTCTTCAGAATCTGATAAAGAAGTCTAGGGAGTACATAGAGAAAGAGCAAAGCAAGCGTACCTCAAAAAGCAATTCAAAGAGGAGTACGAGTGAAAGTCATTCGGATAAAGAAAATGATGGTGTTAAAACAACCGAGTCTGTGAAAGATAGGGCAAAGTTTACAGGAAGAAGTTGCACAAGTGCTCAGGCACTTGATAAACCCAGTCTTAATAAATCAAATACCCTTCTCCAAGGTGCCTCTACTCATACAAATAACACAAATATGTCCACTTTATCCAGTTTTTCTAAAGTTGACATACCTATGAGAGTTGGAACACCTCCTTTGGTGGATTCAGATTCAGATGAGGAGAAAGAATTGAAAAAGAATTCTGTGTTTGAGCGTGACAGTAGCATTGTGAGGAGCCTCACAGGCTCTTATGCCAAATTGCCAAGCCCAGAGCCAAGCATGAGCCCTAAAATGCACCGACGGCGCCCCAGACCTTTATCCATGGGACACATCATTATAAACAACCCTGTGAATGCTTATGAGTTAAGTCCTAAAGGCAAGGGTAGAGCAATGGATTTAATCATGCAAGATATTGCTGATAAAAACAATGTATCTGAATCGGTGCCAAAGTTTATGGTGGACTTCACCACGGTTTGCCCTGGCAGAATTCCTGCTGTCAGCAGGAGTTCTTCAGGCCTTTGTGATGGGTTGGGGGCTGGCAAACCAAATCGCCATTCCTTCGGGTTCTTTGAAAGCAGAGGAACAGTGTCGGCTACGGTGGAAGGACAGGTGGTGATGGACAACAGAGGGCCCTTTAAAGTAGAGAGCAGTACTAGTATGGCACCTCCAAAAGTGAATGAGCCCTTTGGCAGCAGTCAGTCTGCAGTGGCACACAAGATCCTGGCTGTGAATGAAATGAAGCCATCTACTTTGCCAGAAAACACGAAATGTAATTCTCCAATGGAACTCAATAAATCTTACGATGTGGAAAATCCATCTCCACTACTAATGCAGAGCAAGAATGTGCGAGAGCAGATGGATAATACTCCAAATGTTTCTCCAGCAAATGAGCAGTTCCCAGAAAATTTTGAAAAGGTAAAACGTAGACTTGATTTGGACACCGACAACTGCCAAAAAGAAAGCAGTTCCTGTGTTCTAGGAGTTGGAATGGAAGAACAAGAGAAGCAGTGGCTGCAAGAACAGAAATATCCTGTGGGATCAGTTTACATTACCAAGAATGCAGTCCTTGAAAATATGGCAAAAGGTAAAAGATTTCCTGTCCTTGAGACTTATAAATTTTTTTGAGATTTATAAATCTCAGTTTATAAATCTTTTAGAAAAAAACCCAGTGATCATTAGTCATTGGTGTTTCTTTTAAGAAGCTGTATTTCTCTAATTTAATTTGAATTCACAAATACTGATTTCCCATTTCAATCTAGAAGTCGGAATTTAGTTTTACTAAGAAAGTTTTTTTATGCCATGTGGTCTTTATAAATAAGACTACTAAAAGAAAGGATAGCCCATGTAAATGAAAAGTAAACCATATAGGTATTTTCTTCAAATTCAAGACTGTGTTTCTTCTGCATGTGTCTCTACTAAATGAGGCTGAAGTGACACAAATAATGTTAATTCACTCCAGCAAGTGTAACAATTCTTAGAGCTGTGTTTTCCATGTCCCTACTTTAATTCAGGCTTTTGGTGTTAGCTGTTCCATTCACAAGTTCAGTTCACAAATATGAACGTGCAAATATTTTGAAGGACTAGTAAATGATGGGGTTCTGTGCAATACATAATGGGAACTTGATACCAAGGAAACTGGATATCAAAGACATGTTTTTTACTTTTTACTGATGATGCAAATTACCTCCAATAAAGGATGGATGTCTCTGGCAAAGATCATAAAGAAGGAATTTAATATTTGATTCTTTGTTATGTATTTTCTCAGAAGATATTTTAAAAAATAAAATGCTGGCCTTTGAAGAAATGAGAAAGAGACTTGAAGAACAGCATGCACAGCAACTGTCGATTCTGATAGCTGAACAAGAGAGAGAACAGGAGAAATTACAGAAGGTAAGGTCGACAGGAAAAATTCTAAGCAAAGATTTTGCATTGTATGGAAGTTTGTCAGGAAGCAGTTGGGTTTAAATGTATATTCTGCTGCTTTGCAGAGTTAGAAAAATAGTCTCATGGTTGAATCTTCCTTTTGTAGGAACTGGAAGAGCAGGAGAGAAAGTTGAAAGGAAAGAAGGTTACTACAACGGAAATAGAAATTTCCAAAGTGAATATTAACAGTAGGATGGAGTTGGAGTGGAGGAAAAAAAGTGAAAGTGGCTTGCTGGAAAGTGTGCAGTCTCAGCTGGAGACAGTCCATAACACAAACTCCACCAGCATTGGTAAAACTGGGAGGGAAGAATATAGATTAAGTGTTGTGATATAATTTGTTCTACAGTGTTTGACTGGACCATCCCCACTGTGTGAATAAGTGCAGCGTTCCTGCCCTAGGGCTGCTCAGGGTACACAGAGGGCTGCTGCCCTAAGCTGGGGACAGCATTTGTGAAACAAAGTTTGCATCTTTGTGTCGCTGGCATTTAGCACAGGTTCAGCCATCCTTGAACAGTTCTGTGTACTGCATTTGTTATGTAACTGTTTTAGGGCACATCCAAGGAAAACAAGCTAAGAATAACCTCCTTTGATCAAGGATGAGGATGTGGATTTGCATCATGTCTCAGAAGGATTATCCTCGTGCCATGTAGCTGCATAGCACTGGGCCAGGTGGTCACATTTGTGTGGAAAGTTTGGAGAGGCTCTGCCAAGGGTTCCTAACTGCAAGGCAGTTCAGCTATAGCTGATGGAACACCTCTCACCACTTCCTGAACATTATTAAATGTTTTGTTCTGTCTTCTATTTAGCAAATTTTGCATGAAAATCAATTAGAAATAGTCAGCTTGCTTCTTGCCTTTGATTGACCTTGTAGACAAAGCTGTGACCCCCAAGTGGAGTGTATCCACAGACACAGGCATTTACTTCATGAGCAGAAGTGTGTGTTGAACTGTGTGTTCTGCTTTCTGTGCAGGTTTTGCTCATACAACACCCAGCACCTATTCTTCAACAAGTGAAACTTCATTCTATCTCTGGGGACCATCAGGTAGTGGAGTTATAAAAACCTCAGTATGCAGGCCAAGTAATAGGATCAAAACTAGGTGGACTCAGGTAAGGGGAAAAAGAAGATTTCTTTTTATCTTAAAAGGTCCTGATGTTTTTGTAAGGCACTGGTAGCAGAAAATTTTAATATCTGTTTCTGTGTCAACTTTGATTACATAAGAGAACTGTGTAGGTTATTTTTCTTACTCATATATGCAAAATAATCATACAGCAATATATTGTTTCTGTCAAATTATGGTGGGTACTTTGAACCCAGTCAAAGCTTTATCAACAGCTTATTTCTTACTTGAAAACTTGTCACTTGATGGATGTTATTTGATAAATAATTCATAGTTCTTGCTTTTTTTATAAAAAGTCTTGAAATTATTTTTTTTAAGGTTTTCAGTCCAGAGATACAAATGAAGTTTGACAAGATCACTGCAGTGGCAAAGGGATTTCTCACCCGTAGGCTCCTGCAGACAGAAAAATTGAAGCATCTTAAGCAAACTGTAAAAGTAAGATCAGCTTTTTTGTAATAGGCAGCTTCTCCTGTTTGTTTTTGTTCCTGCCTTCCATTGACAGATGAAATCCTGCATTTTCTGCTCTCAGATTTTGGGGCTGCACATGAACATGTTTGACTGTTGCACTGCTTAGTGTCATAAGGTCCAAGTCAAACAAAGAATCTGCTGTGTGTACTGTTTGTAGTGATTGCTTTGTTATGCAGGGTTATGCCTGGTGCTTACTCTTATTTTCCCATCTTTCCCAGGATACTCTGGAGTTCATAAAAACTTTTCAGTCTGAAGCCCCATTGAAAAGAGGAAATGTGTCAGCACAAGATGCATCCCTTCATGAAAGAGTAATGGCTCAGGTGACACAATTTAATCCTTCTTTTTTTCCTTTCCTAGCTTTTGTAACTTAAATACGTAAAACCTTGAGAGTGGCTTTGTTTAGAGTAAAATGTTTAAAGAAGAGAAGATTCCAGTTTTTTTTGCTTGACACAAAATTACTTGATTTTAAAAATTTGTTTTCAAAATGAAGTTTTTGTTTAGATTGAAAGCAAAAAATGCTTGATGTTCAAAACCACAGGCATGTAAACTTGAATATTTTATTAACATTTTAATGATTCTTTCCAGCTACGAGCTGCTCTGTATGACATCCATGACATCTTTTTCACAATGGAGGCATCGGAGAGAATGAATATTCTGCGTCACGATCGTGAAGTTCGTAAAGAGAAGATGCTCAGGCAAATGGTGTGTTATATTCCAGGGAATGTAAACTGTTTCAGGACTTTAAGTACTGAGTCATTTCACATTTAAGGGATTCTTCCTCACCCTGTACAATGTTTCTTAAATCTAAATTTTTAATTATTCTTTTGTAGATAACTTTCTTCTGTATTCTCTTTTTTTTTAGGATAAAGTAAAGAGCCCAAGAGAACGAGTGCCACTTTCAACAGCTACACAGAAATCTCTGGACAGGAAAAAGTTCATGAAGTATGTGTAGCTCTCCCTTGGGTCAGGAGGGTTGATGTAAGGGGGTTCAAGAGAAGGAGTAGGGGACATAGGAAATAGTCAGGAGAAGTTTATGGAATAGATTTCTTTTCAAACTGACATCTCTGCCAGGATGAATGAGTATAAAGCTTTCCAGATGTGTGGTGTCTTGCTAACTGTATTTTGCTCTCACTTCTAAGAGACTCTTTGTTTGTAAGGAGGAAAAATGTTGGTTCTAAGTTATGCATTTACACTGTAATGGGTGCTTAGTTTATGTTTGATTTTGCAAAATGTAAGAAGTGCGCCAAGTGATTTTATCTATCTGAAGTGCTCAGCAAGAGACACTTGATAGAGTATCTCTGGCAAAGTTTTTCTGGGGAATAGTAGCAGGCATTAACTTGCAACACTGTGGACAGTTGTTACACTTGCTTCCGAATAAAGAAGTGATGATCTGTAGGATTGCTGTGGCAGTATTACATGTAGGTGTAGTTCCTCTTGTAGGCTTTCTCTGAGTGTTTCTGTTCAAGACCTGGATGATGATTTGCTAATTGAAATATGTTTCAATAATTTTGTTTCTCTAGGGCTTCTGAAATGGGAATACCAAGTAAAAAAGTAATCATCAAACACAAAGCTCCTGAAAATCGGTGGGTGATAGTTTCTTAACAGCATTTTAGTACAAGTAACTGTCTTACAGTGATGGATTCTGTGATCTGTACTGTTGGTTTGCCATTGATCATCTCAATTCCTGTTACTATTATCATGAAAACTAATGAAATCTGATTTACCATGGCTCAAGAAAAGGATTTATTAGCTCATTATATGTTAGGAAACATATGTTTTCTTCAGAGTCAGTTCTGAAATTTTATCTTCAGAGGTTATGTATTTATGACTTTAAGTCTTGGTGCTCAGATTTAAGGTTTTCTCTGAGATGCACTATTAAGCTTCAGTTTGGCACCACTACTTTTCCTAATACCCTTTGCTTTGCATTGGAATTATTGATAATGCTTATCTATAGGAAGCTGTCAGAAAAGAAGTGGCTTTCTGTTGTGAGGAAAGTTTTGTTCCTTGACTGTGTGATTGCTCAGGTCACAGAAGTTACAGTGTTCAGTACATGTTGTTCATGCAAACAACAGCTGCTCTCTTATGAGGCCTGTCTGCACATGTATCTCATATTAAAAATCAGATACCTGGCATCCCTTAAAAACATTTTTTATCCCATGTTTACCCAAAAGCCTTGAAGATGTGCTGTCTACTCATACAGTTCAGCCTTCAAGGACTACTGTAAGCAATTCAGCCTTTTTTACCATGTGTTCTCATCAATGACTGGGAACCCAGGGCACTATTGTGGGACATCTGTTTGTGTGCTTTTTTTGTTTCTTTGTTTTAAATAGTGGAAGTAGTAATCCTATTCTGGAATTTTAATTCCAGACACTTTACCTACATGTAATTTGCATTACAAAACATGTTAACCTTTCTGAAATTTGTTAGGTGAAACATGATGCGTAATTTGGTATTTCTTGATACTTTCATTTTTAAGGGGAAAAAGCACTAATAAAGATTTGTTTTAACAGCATACTTCAACCAAACCAAGGACAGAATGCCCCAGTTCATAGACTGCTTTGCAGACAAGGGTAAGAGCACAGCATGTTTCTAGTCTAAAGATGAAACAAAATGCAAAGTGCAAGAACAGTGATTAATGAATAATGTTTACACATAACTGTTGTTCAGAGTAAAAATAATTACTTCTCTCAGTATTTTGAGAGAGTGATGAAGCTTTGTTTTACCTTATACTGCAGGAAAATATTCATTGTTGTCATCCTCTTGTGTATTGTCTTCATTTACACTGTTCCAACATTTCTATTTGTAACATTCATTCCATGAAGCTTTGCTTCCACTTAATGAAATATGTATATTTTTATATGTAGACTGTAATGCCATGGTACAGAAACAAAATCAGTTCCTTGAATAGAGGTTTTCAATCTATTCATGGGGAGATGTTCTCCTACTGAATGTATCTATGTAAGCCATAATATCAGTAGGAAATGTACAGGTGCTCAGGATGAGGCTCTGTGGGACATCGTAAAAATGTTTTCATGCCAAACACATTTTGATAGTGTCTATATTTTTGTATACAGCCTTTTAACTTTGCTGCAAGTGACTTATTAACTCTTTTATATTTAATTAGAACCCCTAAGGCCCCAGAGAATGGGGTTGGGCAAAATAGAAGGAAGGCCTCAGGGAGCAGAGTGTCTAACAAGTCTGTTTCAGGTGTGTAGAAAATTGGTGCTCGGATCTTATAGTAAATAAGTTACTAGTATCTAGAAAAAATTAATTGGCAATATATTGTTTTCCTTTCCTTGTGTACCTGCTTTGCTATGCCTTAAGTCTATCCTATCTCTTTAGACAAACCTGCGCTGGTAACTGAACCATTCACTTTCAAATTCTATAAACATAATATATAGAATGTGCTGCACAGCTCATTTGCTTTCACTCACCAGATGCCCTGTCATAAAAAAGATTGCCAGATATATTCACTGGAACTGTTGAAAAATTGATTGTAGTCAAAATACAGTTGGATTAGAATCTTCATGTAGTTTGATTTTTAGTTCTATACACACATCTTCAGCATGGAGTGTATTGAAAGGACAGGAAGGACAGTTTCAGACTCTCAGCGGGTGTTCACTTATCATACAGTCATAAAATTATATATATATAATATATATATATATATTCTATATATATATTCCTGTAGCATCTCACAGCATGTTTGAGTCTTTATGACCCAAGTTTAAAAGTGGAGTATTTCTGTGCTACCTTTGGTTACCTTTTATATAAAAGGTTTGATAATATTGCTGAACCTCTAATAAATTACTATGAATGATCTTACACAGTTTTTAGTTTTTTAATTAGGTTTTAAATTTCTTAAGTACCAAACCTAGATTTATCAAAAGGTAAAGTGATTGATAGGTTTTAAAACTATTTAAGATCTGGATTACACTTTACTCTCAGGAGACAGAAAAGAGACAACAAAACAATGAAAACCTGTGACAGTTACAGTATTACAGAGGTTGTAAAAGAGTAGTAGTAGTGTTTGGGTGGTGTCAAGGTCAGGTTTGGGAGTCATTCGAGGTTTGGATACCATCCTCAAATTCATGTAATTCACACCAAGCTGGTAACGAACAGCAGTGGTGTTTACATTGTGTCTGGCACCAGACATCCAATTAAGTATTCAACACTCTTCTGTGTTGGCAGTGTGCTGCTCTGCTAAGGAAGTTCTGGGTTCATCTTAGTCATAATTGCCAAACTTGTGACAGGTCATGCTTGGCAATGAAAAAAAATCCTTCGGGATATATCTCCAAATTTCTCTTTGCCTTGTTGCTATTTGTCAAATATCTGGAAAGTCATTGAATGCCATCTGCAGTGGCCTTCTCAAAACTTCAGGCAGATGTTGCTAACCAGCTGTATGCTGGTTAGTTCTGGTTGTTCAGTGTGACTTCATGTAGAGCTTGGACATCACACATGTTCCTGTGGTGCAATACCAACACTACTGCATGCTCCTTCAGGAATAGTTTAGACTTCTTGTACTAAATTAATAGAAATGCATTTTGAAATTATTACATGGGCATGAAAGAAACAATCTGCATAATTTTTCAATAATGAGTGAACTTAATTTAAATATAATACAGTTTCCTTTATATATAGATGAAATGTGAATAGTGAAAAGTCTGGCACTATGTTAAACAGGGTGTTGATTTAATTTCTTGTCTTCGTTCATTCCTGACTACCAATTAAATTGTGCTTATTAGAGGGACAAAAAAGGAAGGAGGGCTAGTAAGATACAGCTATTATAAATACATTCAACTTTGATATGAGACAAACCCTCAGAAGAGAATTATAACATACTTATCCAACTTCTTAAAATTTTGTTCTCCTGACTGTTGTTTTAAATTCTATCTGCAAAGTGCTTTATAGCTTTAATACCACTCAGACTGATAGTTACCTTTTTCTCGCAAGAAGACATTGTGTTTAGGAATCCAGTGGCAATCCTAAACTTAGTTTTTGTTGGTTATCACTCCTTCAATCCAACGTTCTGTCCTTAAGAGAAAAGTACAGATTCCTAAATCAGTATTTTTTAAAGTTTAATTAGTTTAAATCAGACCAAGATATTCCATCAATAGCCTGCAAGCGGGGCCAGGCAGGGCATTTAATGGGGGCTGATTGTGTTAGACAGAAGGTGGTTGAGATGAGGTTGCTCCTACAATACCTCTTCATCTCCTCTGCCCAGTTTCCTTTCCTGTGGAAAGGAAATAAGGGGCAGAAGGCACATAGAATAGCTGGGGGGGTGGCAGCACTTGGCTGAGCCAAGGGCACAGCTTGCCCTGGTGAGATTGTGGGGGCTGTGGAGTTTGTTGGCTTTCAGGCCAGCACTTCAGGAAGCCTCAGACCTGGTGTGTGTGTGAATAGCAGGTCTGTCCTTTGTCCCAGGAGAGAGGCCTCATGTGATTGCCCCTTGCCACTGGAAAAGGATGGGTGATTAATTGTTTTCAGAAGTGTCACTGTTTTTGTTTGAATTTGCCTTCTGCAATTCCTTAGTCTAGATTGCTGTGGAATTTTTGCACACTCATTACTGTAATGTGCTATTACTTGTGTGAGATTTTTTATATAACTTGGAGGGCCCTTGAGGTGAGTTAAGGGGTAGTGTTAATCACTAAGAGCACCATGTCTGTCAGCCTGGTTGTCTGTTCTGCAAGATCCCAGGTGATCTGGGGAGGGCTGGGCCAGTGGGAATGCCTTTTGTTAGTGGGAGCCTGTTGGAATATGAGGGCTCTGGGCATTCCCAAAGCTGCTTTGGCCTGTGCTAATTGTAGCCACCAGACTCCTCTAAGTAACCACTGCAGCTCTGACCAAGAGTAACTGAAGACCCCAGAAAGGACTGGAACTTCCTTTGTCACATTCATTTATTGCCTGGTAGTCATTTCTTTTCCATGGCTGTCTTCCATTCCCACTGCTCTGCACCTGGTGGTATGATTTTCACTGCTTTGTGTAAATGTTTGCTCACACTGCTGCACTTTCTTGATAACTGCTTGAACCTAAAGAATGCTGAGTTGTGCTGCTTCTTAGCAGCCTGCAGTGCTGAACCCTCATTACTGGTGCTGCTTCTTAGCAGCCTGCAGTGCTGAACCCTCATTACTGGAAGATACTTGTGCTATGCATAGTATAATGTGGATTTTTAAATGTATGTATGTATATACTTGTTCCCTCTGGAAAGACTTATTTGTTTCTTTCTTTATTATTTCTTTACTTAAGCATTCTTCCTTTTATACTCTGCCTGATGATTTTCATCCTGCACTTCTAATTCTGGTCAAACAGCTGTCTCTTGTTTTAATTAATCTGACAAAAGGAAAGAGTTGTCTTAAGTATTCAACTTGTAAAATATTTTTTAATTGATAATTTGTTTAAAAGTAATACATGGAAATTTTAACAGCCATTTAATCTATTTTGATTTTGTGATAGTTCTTTTAAAAATTTTTGAATTGTGGTTGTAGTTATTTTAGAATAGCAGAAAAGAAGATAGAACAGTTATTGAGTAAAACAATACCATGAAATGCCATTACTTTTAAACCTACAGGTAGTTTTCATAAGGCTTTTGGGATGTGGCATTATGAAAACTGTCATTTTGAAAGTAATCACTGAATGCATAATATTGCTTTAAAAAAAATTGTCCTCATTTTTTTCAGCTATTTTTGTTGGATAATCCTGTTTCAAAAACCATTACTATTAATAGTAATATGGTGATGTTTCTACTTATTTTTAGGAGCATATGCAGGAAGAACCCAAAGAAAGAAGCAAAATGTTGTGATAATTTAAGAAGACAACATTCACTGGGATAAAATGTCTGTGTTTTAATGATGGCATTCTCAGCACTGATTTTTAATATTGCATTTTCTTTACATATATGTATATTTAGACATTATAAACCTACTTTGTCATTTTCAAATGACACATTAACACAATCATATTGAAGCTACTTTGAAGCTCTAATGCTTGTGGGAAAACTGCATGTTAGAACTTGTGTACAGACAAGTATTAATATATAAAAGATTCCTAATCTTGTTTATTTAAAGACTACCACAGGGCAACATGAAGGTAATTTGTGACTTTTTCACACTTTCTAATTCTAGTGTCTGACATACTTTTTGCATTACTTAAATTGCAATTATTGTGTATGAGTGCTACCATAAGTCAGTCATGGGTATTTAGTTTCATACCATAAAGTTAAAGCACCTAATGTGAAAAAAAACCAAAAACCCAAACTTAATTTAAACAAAAGTGAGGTTTAAAGTCAGTAAATTTGTCAGGAGCTGTTTTGAATGTACTTTCCTTAGGTTGAACCAATGAGATTGGTTCAATTTCAGTTCTAAAGGCCTTGTACCAAATGTTTTGCATTTCTGCTGAGCTGGACAGAATCTGGTCCAGATTGACTCCTGGGCTGATGGACACATACTTACACTGACCAAAAATGTGCATTTATGTGTGGTAGATCAAACCACTCTACTGAAAGAGCCCTGGGTTTTTATTGCCCTGCTGTCTACTGCATTTTCTTATGGAAACAACATCTGTCTGATATGGAGATGTGTATGTTCTACAGAAACTTCAGAAGGTAAGATTTTAACTGGTTTACCATTTCAGACTTAAATAGTTATTTCAGTCTGTAATAGTAATTCAGATATGATACATTTAATTGATGACAGTTGGCAGTTTTTCTGAGCAGTTTATCTTCTGCTGTGATCTAACAGGCCTTTGTACTGAACTCATGATTTCTGCAGGTGGGGAGCCCCTACCAAATCCCAACACTTTAATATTTATGGATATCTAACATTAAAAGATCATGGTTGTGATTTATCGTAGTCTTCCAACTGATGAATATTATCCACCAGCTTGAGGAGAGCATAATTCTCCACCTTCTTTTAATGAACTTGAGACATGATATTAACAAAGTTCTAGAGGGAAAAGCTCGGCTGTGTAATTTTTGCAGTGGAGAACTGACTGACAAAATGTAAATGAAGTTATATTTTGTTATTTTCCCAGTGTCAATACAATACAACGCACTAAACTTTGGAGGCTTTCTAATGTGTTGACATGAATGTAAGAGAAAAAACATGAACTGAAAAGTTCATTGTGGTAAATAGCATGAAAGAGGGATGTTAATAATGGGATGAGGCCAGTACCTTCATGGGCAGTGATGAGTGGATTGGCTTGACTGTGGCACCAGCCTGTGGCTTTTATCTGCTACTGAGTCTGTCCTCTGCAGCACTTGGTGTTGTTCAGAACAGGTGTTTTATACCAGGCACTAAGTTACCCAAATTCCATGCTTGGAAAATGCAAAAACACTGCCCAAGCACCTCGAAGAGAGACGCTGCTCGGTTTGTTGAAAGTCTGGGACCGTGGCCTCCCCTAATGGTGTAAGTATGAGTTAACAGCAGTGGAAGACCTGCCTCCTTCATACAAACGCTGTGGTGCTTTAAAATCTCAATTGTAATACAGAAGGTGCCCGAGGCAAGTTGCCTGCTCACCCGATGGGCATCAAAGCTGTGTTTTTGTTCCCGGCTTCCCTTAGGAGTGGAAAACATCTCAAGAGAGGAGGAATTTACAGTGACAAGAGCAGCCTCTGTCACAGATGACGAAAGGTGCTGTTGATATAGCAGCACTAAAGATTGATGTTTTTAATGGATGTTTTATGTGCTGTATTTATTATTAGCATAGGCAATATGTTGATGCACAGATAGGTTTAGTGTGTTAGTAGAAATGAATGTTTCCCTTCTCTTAGGGTTTCACATCTAAACCTCTTGTTCTTCAAGCATGTTTCCAGTGTGTAATAAAGCATTATAGCACAAGGGTTTGTTTTTTTTTTAACTTTCATGAGGCCTTTTTCTTGACAAGTGCCAGAATTTGGTTTTGTACTTGCTGTTTTGTATTTATACATATTTATCTTTTTATTTCGTGTGGAATTGTGGTACCATTACAGAAGTCTATTTATTTTTGTACTTTGTTTCATTTTCACCAGTCTCGCTTTTTACTTAAAGCATTCTGCACAATAAACTCTAAATCTTTACCAAGAAGCGCTTTCTTTCCGTGCTGTTGGCGGAGCTTTGCGTTGTCCGCGCTGAGGGCGGGCCGGCAGCTGCCGGCGGAAGGAGCGGCCGGCGCGCGCTGTCATGTGACGGGGCGCAAGATGGCGGCGTTCCCCTGGTGAGGCGGCG